ACCAGCGACTCCGGCTGCCCCGGGGCCTCCAAGTGCTGCCCCAGCAAGTGCGGCTACACGTGCCAGGAGCCAGTGCTGGGTGAGGGCTCGATGCCAAGGCGGTGGGTGGACACCGGGGTGGGTGCCATGCTGGGTGAGCCCCGCAAAGGGGGAAAGGGGCTCCATGGGTTCCCCCGAGCTCTTGCTGGGTCCTGCAGACCCTGGGAGGCCCGCACTGTGTGGTGGGGAGAGCTGGGGTTGCTGGAGCATGGGGCCGTGGGGTGGATGGGTGTAGGGCTGGGGACCAGGGATGGGCAGACACCTCCAAGGGCCCTGAGAGTGCTGAGGCTGGTGGCGTCCTCTTTGTGTCCCCCTCTCAACCTGTCCCCCCCGTGTCATGCAGATTTCTGCTACCTGCCCTCTGTCTGCGGGAGCTGCAAGGCGCTTTTCCGCCGATTCTTCTTCAACGCCTCCAGCCAGCAGTGTGAGGAGTTCATCTACGGTGGCTGTGGTGGCAACAGGAACAACTTTGAGACCAAGGGCGAGTGCTTCCAGGCCTGCTCCCACGTCGGTAACTAGCCATGGTGTGCTGTGTGCCTTGTGCCATGGCCAGTGACTGCTGTGGCCACTGGTGGTGCCCAGCCCTGCCCCTGACCCCTGTCTCTCCATTCCAGGTGCCCGATAGCCTGTCCTGGCAAATGCAGCCACATGGCCCCAGCCCCGTCCCTCACTCCGCAGGGAATCGTTCCCCGTGGGAACCCGATGGGCTCTGCTGCCCGAGATGGCTGTGCCAGGGGGCTGTGCCTCACCCAGGGATGGCAGGGATGTGCAGTCGTGGCAACACAGCTGCCCCCTCCCAGGCTGTGGTGTCCGGCTGGAGCAACCCGGCTCTCCCTTGGGGCTCTGACACTTCAATACAAGGACGGGTCCTTGGATGAGCACGTCTGGGTCTTGTCCTTCCTGCTTGTGCAGGCAGGAGCAGGCAGTGCCCATCCCTCTGGGCCACCCTCCCGTGCTGGCACAGAGTGATGAGTGCCCTCAGGAGCAGGGCTGGCAGCCCCAGGGCTCACCTGACCACTTTCCTGCAGCATCTGCTGCCTCTGCATGGGCTCCCACCCCTGGCTCTGCCCTCAAGCTGCCAACGTGACCTGGCTGGGAGCTAAAGCAACCTGATGGAGGAGAACTGGCCCCTACATTGATGGATGCCTGGAGTGGTGCTTGTCCCACAGCCCACTCCTGGTCCGTGGGCCTGTGTCTGCACCACTTTACTGTCCCTGTGGTACCAGCCTTGGTGTGGGCTGAGCCTGTAGCCCCAGCCCTGGCGGGACCATCCCTTCACCTGTGAGCCATCTGGGGCTACTCCAGGAGCACAAGGGGCCATCCCAGGGCTAGTGGGATCAGCTCAGTGCTGCCAAGACTCGAGGGACTGGAGGCAGCCACACAGGCACTTTATTGCTGGAGGTGTTGGGGAGGGGACAGGCCAGCTGGGGCACATCACCCCAGCGTGTCCCCTAACAAGGGCATCTTCCTGCAATGGAGCCACTGCTGTTCTGTCATGAAACATCTGAAAAGGAGGACATGCCTTTAGGGAGCCCTGAGGCTGCAGAGCAAGGGACCAGGGGCCACAGCCAAGCTCTGTCCAGAGTTTCATCCTGTTCCATATCCCTCCGTGTCCTCTCACCCTGACAGCACATCGCTGCTGGGAGCAGAGCAATGTGGCAGCAGCTGTGGCCAGCCCTGTGGCGATGCCAAGGCAGGACCATGCTGAGGGCTGTGCCTGTCATGCAGGTCTGGCTGTCAGTCTGCATGCCCCGGTGCCAGCCGTGGTGCTGACCCCAGCTCAGTGGCCCTGGGCCCCCTTACCACCAAGCACCCGTGTTTTTCAGCTGTTGCTGCAGCACTTGTGGCCCCAGGGACAGTCCTCATCGAGGCTGCAGAGGTCCACGCATATCCCGTGGTCCCTGGGGATTGGGCATGCTCTCTCTCTGGCTGCAAGGGACAACCCACGGTGGTGCAGCCAGCCAGAGGGCACCCCGTGGCTCCCGGGGGTCTGGCTGGCTCTCACCTTCAGGGGCATTCGTACAGGTGTGGCCACATCCAGTGCGGGTGCACCTTTGTCCCCAAGGACACTGTGAGTCGGCCTCACATTCCTCCACACACGGCTCAGCACGGTACCGTGGCACCACTGCAGCCTCGTGTTCTGCAGGCAGGAGAGGACAGTCACGGGCAGTTCAGAGCTGAGACTGCGCACGCTCATCGCTTGTATGGAAAGAGATGGGGGAATGGAAGGATGGGTGGGGGCAGGCGGTGACGCTAGAGCGTGGACAGTGCAGGATCCTGCTGGCACAGCCACCGTGGCAGCCACCGGCACCAGGCTTCAGGGTGGGGATGGTG